AAGATCTCATTTTCTGATGTGTTTTAATAATATACATATATTGTGCACTGACATTGTGTGTGCCATAATTTGTGAAGCAATTAGAATAGACATCTGACTAAACAATGCAAGGCTAGCTCAACCAATTAAAAAAATAATACCTGTGAATTGGTGTATTTTGTCAGAATTTCGTCTTTTCTGTGACTTTTGTCAATCCCATGACTTGATAATTTGACTGGTCAACATCTTAATTAACTTTAAAATTAAGCACTCACAATCAGAGCTAAACATGCTGTTTTGTTGTTTTCTTTTCTCCCTCCACTAGACTGACCATGTATGCAGTTGTTACTCTGCAAGACTCAGATGAGGTGATGGTGGTAGCATCAAACTGGCTGAGCCTAGACAAGAAACAATGTTACTGGCCCCCATTCAAATCACCAGACAAGTGCATGGAAGCTGTTCAGAACAGAATTAAAGCTGAAACAGGAGGGAAACCATGGGAGAAATTAAATATTAGCTTTCACAGAGAATATGGTAATGGTCACTATTTTAAAATAACTGTTTAAATTTAGGATTTTTTTAGTACGGTCTACTCAGTTCTCAAATAATACAATAAATATTTATCTTATTACAGTCACTTTTGAGAAGGCAAAAGAGGAGCAACAAGAAATTAAAGAACGGAAAGAACGGTAAGTAACAGACACTTTTGTTTCCAAAAACAAAATTTGTTCAAATGATTTTACTTATTTACGTAAAATAATTCATTTGTGCTGTTTTGTTAAAGTATTGTTTCTTTTCAAATAAAGGTCATATCTATTAGCCACTGGATTCCCTGGAATGCTAAAAAGACAAAGATTTGAAAGCACTCAAGAAATGTTAAAACAACAACTTCCTCCTGCACCATCTGCATCTACATCCAGAATGTCAGCTGATGGTGAGTCAACTTCTTTTGTCATAATCAGTTTGAGAAGTTTTTTTCTTTTTTGTAATTACTGCATAACTCATTTTACACAACAGACAAGGATGAGCTCCTCCAAATGCTGAGAGACATCAAGAGCACAGTTCAGGAAAACTCTACTATGTTAAAGAAACTACTAAAAGACAATACGGTTTCTGAGGTCCCCAGCAGTACCAGCATTCCTCATAAAGACGTTAAAACAAACCTAAAACTGCCTCTTAGAACCATTAAAGAGGTTGCCAGGACTGAAAGACAGCTCACAAAGAATGCAACAACACGCCAAAAATATGTGAGTCGACACGGCATTTAAAGAAAGGGATAATGTACACTCAGCCAGCCATTACAGAAAAATATACTCTCACCTGTAAGGGGTTTATTCTGCAATAATGACTGTACATTATTCCACGGCTACTTACTAAATAAATAAATAAAATAAATGGACATGAAATACAGTATTATAATAATAATGCAGATTCATTATTACTCTTCTAATGTACATACACAGTTTTGTGGTCTATATACAAAATATTTTTGTATTCAAAAGTATCCCAAGACATGTAATAATTACTAACAACACTTAATAAAACAGTTATATATTTTTATAGGTAAGATATCTGTCAAGACTTGGAGGTTTTGGGAAAAAGGATGTGATTAAGAATATTATGCGGCATGTCCTAACAGATGATCTGGCCACAAAGTTTAACTGGCAGGGGAGAGGAAATAAAAAGCCCTTCTCTAAGCTTATTTTAACAGATGTAATCAGAGGTAATCACTGCTGCATGAACACTTCCCACATACACATAGAAATATTGTATTTACTCATGTTTTGTATGTATTTGTGAATTCAATCACTTGGTGAACTTTGTGATGTCTACAAATTTCATATACCTTCTTTACAAGAGCAGCTGTGAATTTAAAGCACTACCATCCAACAAATTTCCAATGAATTCTTCAACGAGTTTTCTCTTTCAGATGCTGCATCAAAACAAAGTGTAATG